AGGTGCAGGAGTGGACACGGGTCACCGAGGAGGCCCGAGACCTCGGCGTTCAACCTTCTTGGGTATTGATGGCTGGTTTCGTCATGGTATTTCTTAGCAGTTTGTATGGTAGGTTGGATACCCCCGAACTTAGAGTAATCTGTTCAACCCAGGGCGCCCAGGTTTTGACCCACGCACCAAAATATGATAACATATTTCACATATATTAATTAGATGTTTGTGGGTCCTGTGATCTTTTTTGGGGGGTAGAGTTGATTTGCACATTGCGTAACGTATTTGACACATTGACACTCCTCCAAAGTCCTGCAAAGGCCAGGAAACTTTTTGGAGCGCTTGAACAGGGCAGCGGTGTTTCCACAAGTCAGTCACGGGGCCAAAGGATAAACACGAGGATTTGAACCAAGACTCATATCACGGAAATGCAGTAGATTCTACACCTACACGTGTTTGGAAGACAAATATCTACCAGCACCCTCCAACAGGTCGCCACCTGCGACTTTTGAGTCAGCAAAAGCCCCCAAAGGAGACCTGTTGGAGGGTGCTGGTATGGCTCTATGATTCTAAGATTGATTCGCTCAAGAGTTGATTGACGCAATCTGACAAGTTTGATTGTTAGACTCTGGCACATGTGAAAGCCGTGTTGTTTCCCAGTCGGCTGTTTGGACATGTTTGGGACCTGTCTATTTTTTGTTGTATGATATGGGTCGTGATTGTTGATTGTGATGTTCAATTGTTTTTTATGATTCGGATGTTGGTTGTTTGGAAGAAGGTCACCGAAGTGTCGCTACATGGCCAACTACGCGGCCAAGTGGAGGTTTAGCCCGTGACGATCCTCAGCCTACAGGTCGATGAACCACCAATCCTCGCAGTTCGTCCTTTGAGTGGGGCCTGCCAACCAGCTGCCGCGTCAGCTGCGTGCCGTTTCACTCGGCGTGCCGGTTTACTCGTGGAGGCCAAGAGATTGGTGAAGGCCATGATGATGGTGAATCCACGGGAGCGCATCGATATCCGACAGGCCTGCGGCTCGTGATGTGAGAAGGACATGGCTGGCATTCAGGGAAGGAGATGGTCAGCAATCCTGGGGGGAATGGCAGAATGGTTTCAGGTATCTTCAGGCCAATTTTGTTTGGAATCAGCATATATTCCGTCCGAGATGCCCAGTTGGATATATTTACTTCATGTAAGTGATACCGATATACCGGTACGGTATACCGGTACGGTGCATGTTTCCTTGCGAGTGAAGTTGTAGATTCTGCTTCCTCAAAGCCTCTCCCACTAGTTTAACACACCGAAAATACCATGGCTATCCATGGCTGTCCATGCTGGGTCTGAGGTTGCCAAACCCAACGACAGACTGGGCCATCCGTGTTGCATCGCGAGGCTTTGGATCATCCTTGGCTCAAGTTCCCCAGGCGGGCCATCTGGTGTGCCTCCTCAGTCGCGCCGTGACTGTCGCTGCTGGTGATCTTTTTTGGGGTGACGCGCCGACATAGACATCACCGAAAACCTCGGAACTGCCGTAGACATCACCAGCGCCTTGAACGGAGGCCCGGCGGTAGCTGTTCCAGTCACGTCTTGACAGGGTGACGACGCGATCGTTGGTTCACCAACGAGTGTTTTCCTCTCCCTAGGGCTCCAAGTACCTCCTCAGAAGGTATTTGGACCCTCTAAACCCACCCCAAACACCTTCTCAGAAGGTATGACTGGAGCCCTAGGGTCTACAAACAGGGGTTTTTCACTCCACATCCATTGTTTCATGGAGGGTCCCGAGACTCTCGACCGAACCCTGGCACCATTCCCCAGGCTTTGCACGCCCGCGCGCTCCCACGCCGAGCCGGGCTCGGACCCTTGGGGGTGCACCCGGGAGAACCGCGTGGCGGGAAGACCACGCCCACGACGTGAGTCGCGGCTCGGGGGGGAAGCTCGGTTCGTGCTCGGTTGGGCTCGGGTGGACGGAGGTGTGTTTTCCATGGGATGAACGGATGAACACATCCCCAAGTGAGTGTTCTTCGATGTGTGTTTGATGAGTTCTAAAGATAGATCGTCGGTGTTTTCGACCATGTAGCTATAGACATTCAGTGGGTGGTTCGACATCTCTATCTCTATGTTTGAAAGATGTTCCATCATTATGCTTATTCGGGAATGGCTATCTCCATTCACAAGTCGTTTGGTCATGGTTTGAGAAAACTGAACTCAGTTGCTGGTCAGTCACAATTCTTTTTCTTGTCTTTTTGAGTGTCTCTGTCACTTTTAGCGCAATCTCAATGGTGTCAGATTTTTTGATCGTCTGCATCTCGCCTGGTCTTTTGTCAGTTCATTTTTGGTTCACCCCCTGCAGACAGCATTGCGGTACTGGTACTACCGTGGTAATCGAGCGAGAATCCAAGCAGCAGCTATGATGTGCCGGGGATCCTCATATTATTCAGTTGAAGACTAGACAGCTCAAAAGCGCAAGTGCTTAATGGTCATCCAGGAACCTTGGTCATCGTGCAAAACCGAATCAAAGGGACAATCTCCCCAATACATGCAGAGCATTGCATCTTGAGCGGATGATATGCACATCATGCTCTTCTGGATTTCAAAAAAGCCCGGAGTTACTAGGCTTCTCAAGCAGGTAATGGGCAGTTTAAACCAAACTTCCAGGGAACCAGAGCGGAGAGCTTGCTCACGCCTTATAGCCATCCAAAAAACCCAAGCGGTGGATTCACGTTGTGTGTCCAGTGTTCTAGTTGTATAGTACCCCTAAAATGCGTGGGCAACTGAATCTCCCTCAATGGTGTTGGATGTCGGATGCTTTCCCTTGGGCTCCAAGTACCTCCTCAGAAGGTATTTGGACCCTCTGAACCCACCCCCAAACATCTTCTCAGAAGGTATTTGGAGCCCTGGGGTTGGTCATTTCAGTCCCTGCTTTGAAATCTGCTGAGGTTATTCCGGCAGAGAGCCTGTCGAGGACATCAGGGTCAATTGAGGCTGTCACCTGACATGTTGGCTATGTCTTAAGCCACCTGACAAGTTGAGCGATGTCACCTACGTACTGCTTGAGGAAGAACTGTATGGGTTGCCAGAAGCTTACAGTGGGCCATCAGAGGCTCGATGGCACGTTTCCCCCATGATGTCCTAGACAGATGGGAGTCCATATAAACCACCGACATTGGGGTCTGTGCCATCTACTCTAACTTGTGTCCATAATACATCTCCTGCCACGTGTAATCGGCTGAGACCCTACGGCACACAGGGAACATGCTTGCTTCGCTGCTACAAGCCTCTGAAACTACTCCTATTATTTACAGGCGTTTACACGGGCTTGTGATGGTTAACTCCTGCGGTAAGTGCGGCAGGAGGTCCTCCGCTGCCTGAGATGTGTCTTCAAGTTCACGAACTTTGTGGCTGATGAATGAAGCTTTTCATAGCTTTTCCATGTAGCAGGCGGATCAATCCCCTGGTTCGGGGGTGAACACGAACGGCTCGCATGGCTCCCATGTTCCAGGTTGCGACGTCGCGTACATCCTCCACTGGATGGTATCGAGTGATTCAACTCTTGATCACCATGATACGGTTGGCATCGATACGGTTGGTTGCACGACCCCTGTATCATGGGCCGGAGAGGACCATGTTCCGCAAAGCAAACAGGCGATGTTCCGCTTCCATGAATTCTTGAAACGCCAGTGCAACGAAGGGTGTTTAGGACCCTTCCAGAAGCCCCAAGGACCACTTGGATCACTTGGCCCTTGCCAAGCTCGACTCCCCTGCCGCCCCAGCAGAAAACTCTCTCTCCGCTTCCTGCGCAGGAGCCGGCGGCCAAGCGGCGGAAGTCGGATGTGATCATGGCGTGACCGAAGAGCGACGGAAGGCGAAGGCGTGGCCGATGGGCGCAGAGCTTTTCGCTTGGGCAGAGCGAGTTGGTGTCCAAAACCGAGTGGATGGGCCGGGAACGAAGCTCGTGTTGGAGGTGAAGATGGTGGGCGATTCTATAGTTGGTATTTAGACGATTTCTTTAGAAGGTGCTCCAGTGGCACCTTCTAAGAAGGTCAAGTCATACCTCCGATTGTAGAGATGTGACATTCCAGATGATTGACTTTGAAGCCACCCAGCTAAAGTTGCCAAAACTTCCACCTTCGTTGCTGGTGCGGTGGCGCTTGTTAAAAGGCACTCTTCGTTTTCAAAGGTACTTTCTACATGACATGATTTCGGTTAAACTGGTCAGTTTTTAGTACAATGCTTGCAATTTGCAGACCAAGATCGATCGAGAAGAATGAGGTGTTCGTTTGTTGGTTGTTGGTGATTGAACAGTCAGCATCCCCTGTTGCACACAATTACGGTCTTTCTTTGTGGCGGTTGTTGTTCTTGCGACCTCGATGTGCAAGGGCACAATGGCAAGGGCCACGCTGAAAAACAGCCATACTCAGTGGGGATCCCCTCCCTATCATATTGATTGGTCCGGCTTCAAGACCTCCTGGGAGGGGTAAATCTAGTGAACCTACCCATTACTACGAACGGGTCGGGGTTGAGATCCACAAATCTTGCGGTGTAGCTTGGCTCAAATGCGCTGCTGAGGGTACAGCAGCGCTGAGGGTCTGAGCTTGTAGCTACCTAAGATCAGGAATAGATCCAGTGGTCCACGCTTTTTGTTGCTGAGTGAATGAACGCTCCTAGTGATGAAGGGAAGGTTATATGCATGGTGAGTACACCCCTTTTGCAAAGGATGTTCTAGGACGCCTAAATGTGTCAAGAATGTGCAGTCACCCTGCCCCCATTTGTGAGTTCAGGGTTGGCAAATCAACCGCGAGATCAGCAAGTTCATCGTTTACTTGCTTCCTTCAACTTCGTCTGCCCTAGTCTGCCCTCGTCTGAGTGGATTTGTTTGGAGTTTGACAGATGTTCCCCTTTGTTTATGAACGTTACTAAAGAATCACGAGCATGAGACCCTTCAAATCAAAAAGCACACTAAACACACACAGACACAGGCATCAAACAAACACACCTGCAACGCTTGGCCAAAACGCCACCGGCCATCTGCTTTTCGAGTCATTGGTGCAGTGCCCGTGCTCTGGCCGCGGTGGTGACCGCGGGGGGAGCAGACCGCGGTGGCTGCGCCCCCCCATGGAGCGGCTGGCCGAGCTCCTGGAGGACGACTTGGACGCGCTCGCCACGCGCACGAAGCGCCTCACGGCGGAGGAGCCCGGAACAGCGGAGCCCGTGTGTCCGGTACGGTTTGGAAGAATGTTAAGGAATTGTCAAGGACTGGTACGGCTCTTTAAGAAGAGTCTGATGGCTCTACCAACCGGAGAGCCCATTCCACCACACGTAGTATGATGATTCGGCCTGAAGAGGATCTCTACCTCTACCAAAAATGTAGGGCTGTAGGGTCGTAGGTTACCTAGACACTCCATTGGACTCCCATATACGCCTATATATGCCTATACATTGACCCCTCATGGCCCACCCCTGGCCTGACTGGCAAATATGACAGTTCCAAACAGAGAGTGTCTGCTTGTGGATTTATGGCCGGTGCTTTCCCGACCCGTCCATTTGGTGTGGCCTTTCGCCACTCCGTCCTGTTGGACGAAGCTCTGTGAAAAGCAGGGCTTCCTCTTCAAACCGGTGGTTCCAGGTGTTTGGTGTGTTGATGTTGGTGTGTGAGTGTGAGTGGGTGTGTTTTGTGCTTGTGGTAAATGTCGATGGTTGCTTTTTGTGGCCAAAAAGCCCGAAACAGGTTTAGGGAGGTATCGAAAGGGGGTGCCAAGGGAGGAAACTCCCCAGCGAGGAGCTGGATGCCGTTTGCCAGTTGGCGGAGCAAGCCATCCACATGGGGATCGATTACAGGCGTGTGGGGCTAATTGAAGTCGCTGCCCTATCTTAAAAAGAAGACACATTGCATGCAAAATTTGGCACAGTCGCCAGCAGCCACTAAGGTTTCAGGACAATGAGAACTTAATGGAACTTATTTACTTTTCGGCCCATGTTCTAAGCAAATGCTTCGGTCAATCCAACAGGTGATCCACGGGCATCGACGTATGGATTTTGGTTTCAATTGCCCTTTAGACCTGTACCTGGGAGGATGAATCCCAACCGCTCATGAATCGTAATGAATCAGATTCTACCTGGGATGCCTAATCCAACCAGGATTTCACGCTTTTCTGTCCGGGTGATGCACTGGTGTGCTGGTGCTGCTACCTCCTTTTCATTCCTTTTCCATGCATCCCACATGTTGAAGGCAGGCTTCTTGACAGGACTTTCTGTCAAGCCCAGACGAAGCGGACGCCCGTTGGGAGGGTTGCGAACACGTTTCCCACCACGTCCCGTGCCACGGACTTCCCGAGCATGATGATGCAGGAATGTCCAAGCGTTTCTTCTTCCCTGTCTCCAAGAGAGGTTAAGTGACCTTATAGGGCCGTACCTCTGTTGGCTTGTTTGCCAACTGGGTTGATGGGTCCCACTGGGTGGTTGGCCACTCCACCGAACTGCCTGGCAGTGACAGTCCCATTGGGGTGGTGTATTGGGGGTGAATGAGACTCCGACACTCAATGACACTCCATGTATTGGGGTGGTTTACCATGAGACTCCATGGTTCTCTACGCCATACATGGAGTGTCTGGGACATATGGCCTTCACCGTGTTTCAGCCATGAAGTGTTTCTCTGGCAACAACTCCACACTGACCAAGTTGTCCTGCAAACAAAACACGGGGTGAAATCGCTACAGGTTGGAGAAAACATGCCATGACTTTTCAGGCAACGGATGGATGTTCGGTCGGTTTGTCACGGCTTCGTCCACCGTCCACGGCTTCGTCCACGGTCGAAGCGGGGGGTCGAAGCATCGGTCGTAAGAACTGTAAGAGGACGGCAGCTGTCATGGCTGTCATGGCTGTGGAAAGAAGTGTTTTTTCTGTTTCCCACAAAGGCCAAGCGAAGACAATGAGTTGCCAAATGTGCCAAATGAGGTCAAATAATAACAAGAACAGCGAGCAGGCAGAAGGCAGACAAATCCAAAATTCAGGCCTGATTTTCGAGCCATGGCGAAGAGAATTCAAGCGCTGCAGACGAATGGTGAAAGCCTGGTTCTTGAAGTCACGCCTGAGGCAACAGGCAAGGAGCTCAAGCAGCAGGTCAAGGAGAGAACGCCTTGGGACGAGCTCACTCGCAGCACCACAGGCGTGGAGATCATTGGGGCAGACAACCAATTGCTGACCAACGATGTCAAGGTATTGGACGCTGGAATTGCTGAAGATACAGCTGTGAGTGTTGTATTCAAACCAAACAAAGTGATATGCTTCAACAAAGCTGCGATCGCCAGTCTCAGTGGCATTGTCGACTCGGAGCTGTTGCTTGTGGTCGAAATTCCACACGATGAAACAGTGATTTGTCAAAGTGCTTTTGACGGGTGCCACACGTTGGCCAAGTTGACCATCCCAGACTCGGCCACCGACATTGGGAGTTTTGCCTTTCGTGGGTGCAGCTCTTTAGTGAACTTGACCATTTCAAACTCAGTGACCAGTATTGGGTATGGCGCATTTAGAGGTTGCGGCTCTCTGGTGAACGTGACCATCCCAGACTCACTGACCCACATCGAGGATTGTGTCTTTGAGGGTTGCGGGTCTTTGGCAAACTTGAACATCCCTGACTCAGT